TTTAATTTCCACATATTTATGAATGTTCTATTGCTCTTCTTATTTTCTAGTTTTATTCCCTTGTGTTCTGAGAACATAAATGATATTTAAATCTTTCAAAATTTATGGAGGCCTAATTTGTGGCCCCATATATGGTCTATCCAAGAAAATGTTCCTTGTGGTGATAAGAATGTGTACTCTGTAGCTATTGGGTGAAATATTCCATAAATATCTTTTAGGCCCATTTGCTCAATAGGATGGTTCAATTCTGATGCATCTTGCTTATGTCTGGATCGTTTATTGGCAACAGTGGGGGTGCTGAAGTACCCCACTACTATTGCATTGGAATCTATCTCTTCTTGTTTTACTTTTTTTATTTTGAAAGGTAGAGTTAGTGAGAGAGAGAGAGACACACAGAAAGGTCTTCCTTCTGTTGGTTCACCCCCCCAAATGGCTGCTATGGCCAGAGCTGCGCCAATCTGAAGCCAGGAGCCAAGTGTTTCCTCCTGGTCTCCCATGTGGATGCAGGGAACCAAGCACCTGGGCCATCCTACACTGCCTTCCTGGGCCACAGCAGAGAGCTGGACTGGAAGAGGAGCAACCAGGACTAGAACCCGGTGCCCATATGGGATGCCAGTGTCACAGGCGGAGGATTAACCAAGTGAGCCATGGCACTGGCCCTCTTCTTTTATGTTTGCTCTCTATATATGTTTGATCTTATGTTGGGTGCATATATATTTATGATTGTTACATTTTCTTGCTGAACTGATAGTTTTATCAATGTACGTTACAGTTTTCTGGTCACTTTTGCAGTTTTTAAGATTCTACTTATCTAATATGAGTATAGCTACTCATGCTCATTTTTGGTTTCCATTTGCATGGCAGTTCTCTTTCCAGTGTTTCACTTACAGTGTGTGTGTCTTGTGAAATGAGTTTCTTGTTAGGCACCATTTATATAGGTCTTCTTTTAATTGACTCAGTCAACCTAAATTTTTTGAGTGGTGAATTTAATACATTTGCATTCTATGTTAGTGCCTGTAATCCACTACAAAGTGTGACAACGGCATCTTAACCACTAGCCAAACACTTGATCCCAAAGGCTATTTTTATTTAACCAAACTTGAAATCAATTTAAAGAAAAAAAAAATCAGTTTGGCTGCCTATTCATGATATAGTAAGGAGGCAACTTGGTAATAAGGAAGAAATCAGTATTTAAGCCCAGTTGCTCCGGAAAATTCATATATACTCATTAGCTCAACAGAAAACAATAGGGGCCTACATCGTGGTGAGAGGATTCAGCTAATCTTAAAACTCCAGGGAGCCGGCACTGTGGCTCAGCAGGTTAACACCCTGGCCTGAAATGCCAGCGTCCCATATAGGTGCTGGTTCACACCCTGGCTGCTCCACTTCCAATCCAGCTCTCTGCTATGGCCTGGGAAAGCAGTAGAAGATGGCCCAAGTCCTTGGGACCCTGCACCCACGTGGGTGACCCAGAAGTTGTTCCTGGCTCCTGGCTTTGGATCGGCGCAGCTCCAGCCATTGCAGCCAATTGAGGAGTGAACCATCAGATGGAAGACCTCTTTCTCTGCCTCTCCTCTCTCTGTGTAACTCTTTCAAATAAATAAATCTTAAAAAATAAAACTCCAGAGTCACATATGCTGACATGCCATATCAGAGTGCCAGTTTGAGTCCCAGTTATTCTGCTTCTGATCCAGCTTCCTACCAAAACTCCTGAGAAGCAGACAAAGGTCCACGTCCTTGGGCCCCTGCCACCCACGTGAGAGACCTGGATGGCTCTTCCTGGCTCCTGGCTCCAGCCTGGCCTAGTCTGTTGCAACCATTTGGGAGTGAACTAGCAGATGGAAGATCTCTCTGCCTCTCCTCTCTGTAGCTCTTTCTTTCAAATAAATAAATCTCAGAAGAAGAAAAAAAACTATTAAAAAAAAGAAAGCCTATAATTTTGTTGACTGGTTATTGACTGTACTGAACCATTAGTGAATTTGGTAGCCTCATGTGTTTTAGCGATATTTACTTCCAATATAAGGACTTCTTTCATAACTTCTTGTAAGGCTGGTCTGGTCATGATGTATTCTCATAGTTATTGGTTATCCAGGAAGTACTTCACTCTTCTTTCATTTTTAAAGGGTAATTTCACTGGATATAGTATTTGTTGTTCAAACTTTTTTACTTTTATGACCTTGAATATATCAACCCACTCTCTTCTGGCCTGCAAGGTTTCTGCTGAGCAGTCTGTTAGTCTAATTAGTTTTCATTTATATGCAACTTGATGCTTTTCTCTAATTCAGGATTCTCTCCATGTCATTAACTTTTGACAATTTGACTAAAGTATGCCTTTGAGGTCTTTTTATTGTTGTTTAGTTGAGTCAGGGTCCTACTTTTGAGCTTTCTCTACCTGTATATCCAGCTTGTTCACTACTTGGGAATCTGGGACCTGACACTACAGGGCAATATATTTAGCTGCTGCCTGAATCCGGCATCCCCTGAGTGCCAGTTTGAATCCTGGCTATTCTACTTCTGACCTAGCTCCCTGCTAATATGCCTGCAATCAGCTTTAGATGTCCCTTGCCACCCATGTAGGAGATCTTGATGAAGTTACTGGCTCCTGGCTTCAGCTGTCACAGAGATTTGGAGAGTGAGCCAGCAAATGAAGCTCTCTCTCTCTCTCTCCCCCTCTTTCTAACTTTGCCTTTGAATAAATAATTTTTAGAATATGCTTTAATATTTTATCATCTCTGCATTTATAACAATTCACTTCAACAATCACAGAATCCTTTTCTTCCAGTGCCACAAACTGTTACAAATGAAAGCTGGTACTGATGCTTGTCAAAATATATAAAACAATTGATGTTTTATATAAAACCACTTTATATGTTAACTTGTTCCCAAAAACCTCTTTCTCTTTTTTTGCCTGGCTTATAAACCAAAAAAAGGGAATCTTATGGACAGACCACATAAAACATGAGACAGTGTCAGAGGCTCCTAGCTGTGCTAAATTTTTCTTACAGTACTGAAAATGCCCATCAAACCCTGCCATCCTAAACATTCTGTTCACATTTAAACTCCCCTTTTTTCCAAGTAAATAAAATTTCAAAAAGACTTAGAGATTTTTAACTATTTTATTTAGTAGCTTATCTTCTCCTTCAAAAATCTCCTTATGCTTCATGAGTTCCTATCATGAATTTGTAGTTGCCTATGGATATCTCATACTTCACACAGGCTTTCTTCATTCTTTTAATTCACTTTCTGACTGAGGATTGTTTAAAAACTTGTGTCCTACAGATAAATTCTTTCTTCTGTTTGATCTGTTTTGCTGTTGAAGATCAATTTTATTTCATTGAAACTTGCAGTTCCAAAATTTGTCTTAATTATTTCTATTTCCTTACTGAATTCCTCAGTAATGTCACCTTTGCTTTCCTTATTAAGTTATCTATATCCTATTGCATTGGATTGCATTTCCTCATGATCATTATTTTGAATTGCATTTCAGTCATCTAATAGATTTCCTTCTGAATATTTTTTTTCTTTCAGAAGTGTCATGCATTGTTTCCTGTGTCTCTACATTCACTTCTGCACACCTGCTGTAATAGTCCAAGGGGTAGGTTTTGTTGGAAACAAAGTTTTTTGTTTAAATGGGATGCATGCTGTTACTTGGCTTGTTGCTATGGTGTTAGTTATTGGTGAGCCCAGAAGTTTAACCTCTGAGTAATTTCATTTGCTTCAAACAATGTTAGCAGTGTTATGTCACACAGTCGTCAATTCTGTAATAGTGCATGTATACAGAAGACTTTGAGGCTGATGTGGGCTTCTTGAGGTACTTCATTCCCCCAAGAATTGAGTATCACACTAGAATTTGTGATAGGTGGGCTTCATTCTTGGTGCTAAGGGACACCAAAGGGGTTTTCCCCTTGTCCCACTAGGCAGATCTGAATGAAGCTGGAGTTTGCGGCTCCAACAACTCTGGCTCTAAGACTGTGTGATGTGGATTGGAACTTCCCCTCACTCTGTTGGAAGACTGTGACTGGTCCTGGGACCTAGGGCACCAAAAGCCCTACTCCCAGAATCTGAGGTTGTGACGGTTACCATGCTACAGTTCTATAGGGTGATGGAAAGATAAATTAGATTTTGCACTGGAAGATATGGGTCAAGAGAGGCAGCATAGGTAAATGCTTCCATGGGACTCACGGGCTAGAAATAAGTGAGTCTGCATCTATTAATACTAATACTAATTATCACAGTTCTGGCATTGCAAAATATGGAGGAGTCATTGCCCAGTCTCCCAAGAGCTGGTTGTGTTAGCGATAGTGGTAGCTGCATGCCTTTTTCTTGCAAGATGGCATTTCCTGGCTGGAAACTGAGTAGCTGTTGTAGCAGATACTGGTAGTGGCAAGGGCTGGCAACAGTGGTGTGTCTGTGGTCTCTCTTTGCTGTCCTACAGAATCTTTGCTGTTCTGTCATCTCTTTATAGGAAATTTCTCTCAATCAGTTCCCTGGGAACATTCTTGTTTTTCTGATACTTGTAGCTGAAATGAATGCAGCTTCTCACTATTCATGAATCTTGGATCCTGTCAGATTGAGTTTTTTAAACTTCTATATATAAGTAAGAATATACAGTAGTTGTTTTTCTGTGTCAGGCTTATTTCAGTTAGCATGATATGCCCTCTATTTCCATCCATTTTGCTGTGAAAGATGATTTCATTTTTTGTACCCAAACAATGTTCCATTGTGTCTATATACCACATTTTCTCTCCATTCATCTTATAATGAACACCTTGGTTGATTCCATATCTTGGCTATGGTGAAGACTGCTGCAATGAGGTGGTAGAGCAGGTACACCTTTGATACAATTATTTCATGTCTCATATATATGTGTGTATATATATATATTCAGTAGTGAATATTTAATTTACCATTACATAATATTATAACTAAATTTTAAAACTTAAAGTCTCAAAGTATGAACACATTTAGGAAACCTTATAAAGTATAAACGTATAAAATACCTTCAATTTGCTGCTTTACAGTTTCATAACTTTTCACTACTAGAGGTGAATTTTCTGAATCTCTGTTAAAATTTCAATGAACAAAACATTTTAATATAGCAAATAATGAGTTTAAATTACATTTAAATAAGAATTAGAATGTAGAAGATTTATAAAATAAAAATTAACACATTCTTTAACTTATTCACAGGTATTCAGGTAAATTAACTACCAATAGGGACAGACACAACTGTACCAATTAGCACAGCACTTAAGATGTTTGAGATGCCCATATCCCATTAAGAGAGTGAATAGGTTTGATCCCTGACTCCATTTATAATTCCAATTTCCTGCCAAAGTGTGCCCTGGGTGGCAGCACATGACGACTCAGGTACTTGACTAGGTTCCTGGCACCAATGTGAATGATCTAGGTTGAGGTCCAGACTCCTGGCTTCAGCCTAGCTCATACCCAGCTGTTGCAAGCATTTGGTAGGTTAACCAACAGAAGGAAGATATCTCTTTTTCCCTCATCTCCCTCATCTCTCTCATGTTTCTCTTTCTCTTCTTTTCAAGTCACAATAAATTCTAAAAATAATTAGTAATGAGCAAATAAATGAAAGTCAAGCTATGTAGTCCTATGAATTCAGTGTGTTTCATGAATATAATTAGATACACCAATATCAACAAAGAAGTCTGAAAATAAATTGGGTAGAAACACATGATTTCTTTTTACCAATGTTATCAATGATGTAATGATTAAGTGTACATATTTTGGGGTGCGTCTATTTGGCCCAAAACCTGTTTCATTCACTTATTAATTATATAATCTTGGGTAAGTTCCTTAACATCTCTCATATTCCATTTCTTCATCTATTAAAAATGATACCTTTTCCATTATGTAGTTATCAAGATAAAAGGGGATTATACATGCTGCTACTTTAAAAATACCAGCATATGGCAGAAATTTAAATATCAAGTATTAAAATTAATTTAGGGTTTAAAGTTAATTTTATGCCTCCTAATAAAAAAGTTATGTGAATATATCTGAAACCCTGAACCAAGAATCTAGTTATGTAACTCCTAGGCAGCCAACTGAAGATTCACTCTATTAATTTCTTTAAAATTAGTAATTGGCACATTAAAATATCAGTAAACTACATGATAAATAATAACTTTTCTCAATTATGGGTACTTTTATGTTAAAATGACATTATTTATTTTTAAAATTTTTATTTTTTTATTTTTTATTTTATTTATTTATTTTTTTTGACAGGCAGAGTGGACAGTGAGAGAGAGACAGAGAGAAAGGTCTTCGTTGGTTCACCCTCCAATGGCCGCCATGGCTGGCGCACTGCGGCTGGCGCACCGTGCTGATCCGATGGCAGGAGCCAGGTGCTTCTCCTGGTCTCCCATGGAGTGCAGGGCCCAAGCACTTGGCCCATCCTCCACTGCCTTCACGGGCCACAGCAGAGAGCTGGCCTGGAAGAGGGGCAACCAGGACAGAATCCGACGCCCCGGCCGGGACTAGAACCCGGTGTGCTGGCGCCACTAGGTGGAGGATTAGCCTAATGAGCCGCGGCGCCGGCCTAAAATTTTTATTTATATAAGGTGAACAAATTTCATGTATTTCCTACATACAAATTTAAGAACATGGTGGTAACTCTTAACCTATCTCCCTCTTACCCATGTTCCCACCCTCCCTCTTCATTTTCTTACTTTTTTTTTTTTTGATTTTTACAAAGACATCCTTCGACAGGCATAAGCTTAACCCTCCACTAAGTAAAAAATACAACAAATGAGTATGAAGAAAAAACTACTTTTCCTCCGAAGTATAGACAAGGGTTGTAATCAGTACTCAAATATCAATGAACTTTTTTTTTTTTTTTGACAGGCAGAGTGGACAGTGAGAGAGAGAGACAGAGAGAAAGGTCTTCCTTTGCCGTTGGTTCACCCTCCAATGGCCACCGTGCTACGGCCGGCGCATCGCGCTGATCTGGAGGCAGGAGCCAGGAACTTATCCTCGTCTCCCATGGGGTGCAGGGCCCAAATACTTGGGCCATCCTCCACTGCACTTCCCTGGCCACAGCAGAGAGCTGGCCTGGAAGAGGGGCAACTGGGACAGAATCCGTTACCCCAACCGGGACCAGAACCCGGTGTGCCAGCGCCGCAAGGCAGAGGATTAGCCTAGTGAGCCGCGGCGCCAGCCTCAATGAACTTTTATGTGAATGTAAAACCTTTACTTAAGTTGGTTATATATATTTTTAAAATGTTTGCCTATTTTTATTTGAAAGGCAGAGAAAAAAGGAGGTGGGAGAGAGGGAACAAAGATGGAAGGGAGGGAGAGTGAGATGGATCTTTCATCCACTGATTCACTCCCCAAATGCCTGCAACAGATAGGGCTGTGCTATGCCAAATACAGGAGAACAGAACCATCTGGGTCTCCAACATGGGTAGCAGTAAATCAGAAACCTGAGGCATCATCTGCTGCCTCACAGGAGGTATTAGCAGGAAGCTGGATCCAAAAGGCAATGTAGTCATCCCAATGGTGGCCTAACTTGCTGCTCTACAACCCCTGTCCTAAGATAATTTTTAATGAAGATATCAAGAACAATAATCAGATCTAAAATAGTTTCCCATTTATTACTGAGAGCCATCTGAACAAATAAGAACAGAATTTATAAGCCATATATTTCAAAGTCTAATAGCCACAAATGGCTACTAAGCACTTGAAATGTGGCTAGTGTGTTAGAAGCTGATTTTGTTAATTGAATTGAATTTTAATAGTCTGTGTAGCCAGTAACTACTGTATTGGATAGTACCATCTCAGAGCATTAAAATTTTCAGACAAGATCAAACTGACTAAAACAAATTTGATTTAGAAACCCTACGCACAGCCATAACACCTGACCCATTACCTTACATTCAATGCTACCTCTCTTATTATTTTTCATTCATTCTATTTCACTTACATAGTTGTAGACTCCCGTTCACGGTGCTTTCCCAGTTCTTTAACATTTTGCTCAAGTTGTAATATTTGTGCAGTGCCCGAGGTGAGCTTTTTATGAGGTACTGCAAGTTCATTTAGAAGAGTTGGCTCTTCACCTTGGAAGTCCTCAGTTTGTTCCCATACCTAAAAGAAATTTAACGTAATGTTAGACAGGCAGTGGAGGTGGTAAAGTTTTCTTTCCAGTTATCTTCTCTACTCCCTACTAAGACAGTGTATAATATATACCAGTGCTCACCCTAATAAGTTTCAACAGTACCACCACATGGACACCACTGGAAAGGTCACTGGCCTGCCAGATTCCTATGGGCATCTTCCCCCAGGATTTCTTAGCAAAATTCAGCAGTGCATAACATCCCTTTGGGAATACTTCCAGCATATCATTTCTATGGATATGCTATGCCAATAGGTACAGTGGCTCCCTGCCAAGAGGTCATTCATTTCCTGGTACCACAGAGGACTGCGTCCAGTGTACCATGCTCATGGCAAGTTTTGAGTGAATTCAAAGCCACCAGGATGGCATTCGACTCAACTCCTCTGCCTTCCAGCTGTAACAGCTGCTCCCTCCCAGAAGATCTGGAGGTTAGCCCTGGGTTGAAAGAGTTGGGAATATTCATTTGTTCCTTCCTTGATCATGCTCTGCTTCCATCTAGGGGTAGAGGTTCTTCTCTACAGCTTCTGTTACTACATTATTTTTAATTGTCTTCATCCTCTTAGCAGAAAGTCTGCTGTTATAATTCTTTATATAAAACTTTCCCTAATCAAATTACTATACAGCTTTCATCTTTTAAAAAAAAAAGATTTATTTAAAAGGCAGAGTTAGAGAGAGAGGGGAGACAGATCTTCCACCTGCCAGTTTACTCCCCCAAATGGCTGCAAAGGTTAGGGCTAGGCCAGCCCAAAGTCAGTCTATGGGCTTTAACCAGATCTCCCACATTCAGTGGCAGAGGCCCAAGCATTTAGATAATCCTCTGATGCCTTTTCTAGGCTATCAGTAGGGATCTGGATTTGAAGTGGAACAGCCAAGTCTCCAATTGGCATCCATGTGGGATATCAACATCACAGGTGGAAGCTTAATTGGTTACACAAAGTGCCAGCCTGGATTCTTCTCTTGATTAAACTGGTATATTCAATTTCCCAATGGAGATTTGAACAAAACAGAAGATGAAAAAGAGCTAAAGGATCAAGAAATATACAGCGGGATTATAATCTATTACGCTTCAAACAGACCTCTAGGGTGCAGGTTCCAAAACAACTCGGAAAAGGACACACCCCAGGCTCATCCCACATTTCTCTAATGCAGCTCATAATACGCTCCAATGGGTTCAACATGCAGCTCTGTAAATGTAATATGATCACAGGCACTAACCTCAACCAACATGTACTGACAATAAAATCCATTAGCAATAAAAAGATCACTCAAGGATCCTCAAATACTAGCATACATAAGAATCCCCTGTAGAGTTCATGTTAAAGCAGATTCCTAACTCTCACACGAACATTTCTAAATTCAGAAATCTGCATTTATAAAAGGTACAATAGGTGATGGCTAAACATGATCCATCAACAATGTAAAACACTCCTTAAAAGGCAAAAGGTAATACAACTGCTTAGCTAATGTAACTCAAGCATAATATTAAGAAAATACTCAAGAGAAGTAATTACTGTTTGACATTTTCAAAAATACAAATATAGTTGTGCAACAAGGATTCACCTTAAGGAATATGAATGCATGAACTTGGATGGCAGGCACACTGGAGATGATGGTACACAGCACAAAGGCATGAGCAGTACATGCACAGGGAAGTAGACACATGTGATCGCTACTAAGGAAGTGCAATCAACACTCTGCACTGGGAAGATTGAATACTAGGCACAGATGGAGGTAAAGCCATCAAGAATGGTTACCCAACTGATAAAAATAATACTATTAACAGGGACAGGAAATGTTAGAAGATGTATAAGATCTGGGGGATGGGGGCCAAAATGGTGGTATAGGAGTGAGAAGTTCCAAGCCATGCAGGCAAAAATGGACAGTTAGCAGAGGGGATACAAACCAGTGCAGAATCACGAGGAGTTCACACAGAGTGGTTCAGGAGTCCACCAGAGATTGCTCAGGCCCACGCTGGAGGAGCACAGAGGAGGCAGGGGTGGCAGACAAGCAGTGAAGGAATAATGCAGGGACCAAGCAAGGAAACTGGCACCGCCACCCCCAGAGAACCAGATGAGAGGTCTCAAGTCCACGGAGCTGCAAACAGTGGCAGGCAGGGAAGCTTGGTGAGCTGTACTGCATCTGACACTCCAAGCAGGAAGGAGGAGAAATTGTACGGGAACAGGTGGAAAGGTTGGGCATGCCATGATCTTTCTGTGTCTTACCCCGTTCCCCCAGTCGGACCTACAGCTGGCATGGAGAAGGCATACTGATTGTTTACATTTTCCAGTGTAAGCAGGGGACTGCCGCATCTGCCTCCTGCACACACACCCATCAATTGCAGGGGCCACCTCACAACACGCCCCACCCGGGAACAAGGATCACAACATTTCAGAGTGATTTCCTTCCTACCACACAAGCTGTACAACAAGGAGTAGTCCTAAACAGAGAACACCCAAGCTCATTTCTCGCACCGTGAGAACTGCGCAGAGCTTAGTGCACCAAAGCCCTGGTACCCACCTCCATCACCATCCAGAAGTAAACAGAGCTCCAGGAGGCAGAGCTGTGTGTTTCCACTTGCAATGCACAGACACATAGCAGATCACAGCAGAGGAAAAACAATTTAAAAATACAGTCAACCAGAAATGCTAAAGAACAAATGAAAAATCCTGAATAAGAATAAAGAAGACTGTATGAATTCACCAGAGGAACAATACAAATCCTCAACAATGGAGGCTGAAGAAGGGATAGAGGATGTGCCAGAAAGGGAATTCAGAAAATTAATAGAGTACTTAGAAGCAATCAGAAACAAATTTATGATTCAAATGAAAAGCACTTCCAAGAAATTCAGATTTTAAAGAGAAGCCAGAATGAAATGCTGGAAATGAAGAATTCAATAGACCAAATAAAAAATGCAGTGGAAAGTCTTAGCAATCAAATAGATGAAACAGAAAAGTATCAGAACTAGAAGACAAACTTTTGGAAATAATACAGTCAGACCAAATACAAGAAAAAGAAATTAGAAAATTAAAAATCATGGTTGGAGAGTTAAGATTCTATCAAACGACCAAACTTATGGATCCTAGGAATTCCAGAAGGTGTGGAAAGAGGAGGGACTAAAAGGCCTTCTTAATGAAATATTAACAGAAAAATTCCACAAATCAAAAGAGAAATCATGGAGCCAGCATGGTGGTGCAATGGGTTAAAGCCCTGGCCTGAGGTGCAGGCATCCATATGGGCGCCAGTTCTGGTCCCAGCTGTTCCTCTTCCAATTTGGCTCTCTGCTATGGCCTGGGAAAGCAGCAGAAGATGGCCCAAGTCCTTGAGCGCCTGCACCCATGTGGGAATCCAGGGAGAAGCTCCTGACTTCTGGCTTCAGATTGGCGCAGCTCCGGCTGTTGTGGCTGTATGGGGAGTGAACCAGCAGATGGCAGACCTTTCTCTCTGTCTCTACCTCTTTGTAACTCTTTCAAATAAATGAAAATATTTTAAAAAATAAAAATCAAAAAATTTCTGGAAACAAATGAAGATGGCAATACAACATACCATAAAGTTTGTGGGATACAGAAAAAGCAGTGTTAAGAGGAAAGTTTATAGCAATTTGTGCCTACATTAAGAAACTGGAAAGACACCAAATAAATGAACTACCTATGTACCTCAAGGATCTAGAAAATCTGCAGCAAACCAAACCCAAAACCAGTAGAAGAAATGATTAAAATTAGAAAGAAATCAACAACAACAACAACAACAAAAAAAGAAACAATACAAAAGATCAGCAAAACAAAGACGTGGTTTCCTTAAAAAATAAACAAAATTGACACACCATTGGCCCAACTAACAAAAGAAGCGAGAAGACCCAAATCAATAAAATTAGAGATGAAAAAGGAAATGTAATAACAGACACCACAGACATAAAAGAAATTATCAGAAATCACTAAAGAGAGATGTATGCCAAAACAACGGAAAACCTGTAAGAAACAGAGATTCCTGGACACATAAAACCTACCTAATATGAGCCATGAAGACATAGGAAACCTAAACAGATTCATAACCAAGACGGAGACTGAAACAGTAATAAAGGCCCTCCCAACAAAGAAAAGCTCAGGACTGGATGGCTTCACTGCTGAATTCTACCAGACATTTAAAAAAGAACTAACTCCAATTCTTCTCAAATTATCAAAACAATTGAAAGGAAGTGAATCCTTCCAAATTCTTCCTGTGAACATCTTAATTCCTAAACCTGAAAAGATGCAACAGAGAAAGAGAATTACAGACCAATTTCCCTGATGAACATAGATGCAAACATCCTCAACAAAATTCTGGCCAATTGAATCCAGTAACACATTAAAATGCTCATTCACCCGGACCAAGTAGGATTTATCCCTGATATTCAGGGATGGTTCAACATCACAAATTAATCAATGTGATATATCACATTAAATTGAAGAACAAAAACTGTATGTTTATCTCAAAACACAATTCCCTCTCATGACAAATACTCTAAGCAAACTGGGTTTAGAAGGAACATTCCTCAAGGCAATTTATGACACACCCATGGCCAGCATCCTATTGAATGAGGAAAAGTTGGAAGCATTCCCACTGAGATCCAGAACCAGATAAGGATGGCCACTCTCACCATTGCTATTCAATATAGTCCTGGAAGTTTTAGCCAAAGCCATTAGGCAAGAAAAGGAAATCAAAGAGATACACGTTGGGAAGGAGGAAATCAAACTATCCCTATTTGCAGATGATATGATTCTATATATAGAGGATCCAAAAGACTCCACTAAGAGATTATTGGAACTCATAGAAGAGTTTAGTAAAGTAGCAGGATATAAAGACAACACACAAAAATCAACAGCCTTTGTATACACAAACAATGCCATGCTGGGAAAGAACTTCTAAGATGAATGCCACTCACAATATCTACCAAAAAAAAAAAAAATCAAATACCTTGGAATAAATTTAACCAAGA